AATTACATAATAAAAACACAGCATTATAGAGGACTGGACTGTTGTTACAGGCATCAATAGTTAATTCTGTCTCAGCTAGCAGATGCTCTCGTACAAGCTACAAGAGGACATTTACCATGTGTTATGGTTCACAGCCTACCACTGATAAACATACTGACCCAGTGCGTCTCTTTACTGATGAGTCCCCCCACTTATGCATATTTTAATGCATGACACTGATATTGTCATTATGCAAATACACATTGCTCTGCTGCTCTAAGACTGAAGTGAGCTCCATCGCAACAGCTGGGCAACTGGAGTCTCGATTCAAATTCGTCTCACACCTCCACAGGTCACAGTTACATTTGCATTTGCACACCTGCATTTTTCTTAAACCTATCCAAAGTATTTTAGGGACCCTTATGGTCTTTATGTCCGTCTTTTAATTACTTATACTCTATGACAGACGATAAAGAGCGGTTATAAGACACCATAAATGGTAAGAGTGGTTCAATCTGATCTAAGCTGCTATTGTATTTGAAACAGAGACATTCCCACATGTTGCTGAGCTTCCAGCTTTCTTGTTGCACTTAACTAATCCTACTGGAGTGTGAAATATATTTTTTTAGCCCCCCCATAAAAGTTATTTGGCCTCATAAGAGTTTACAAGATGCCAAGATTTCTTAAACATAGAAATAGATCATACATGTTTTGGTAATACAAAGTCACGTGAAGTTTTCACAGGACTTTATCAGTCGCTTACAACACTGAAGAGGTAGTATACCCTTACTGTTTCCATAGGAATTACGTGGGCAAGTGGCAGCCAAGTGCTGCTAATCTCTAACAAGTATGGCTTGTTTGGATGGACTGTCAGAAGAAAGCCTCTTCTCTCTAAAAAGACCAAAGTGGTGATCTATGGCTATAATGCCCAACACCATGTTTGGTGAAAGTCAAGTACAGCATGTCAGCACACCACCTACTGTCAAGCACGGTGGTGGATAGGCCATGATTTGGCTTGTTTTTGCAGCCATGTCCTCATATTTACATGTTGGGTTTATGAAGTATAACACAATAAAGTCTCCTTTGTGTAATAAAATTGAGAATACTTTGAGCAGAATGAAGTATAAGGATGAAGAAAAGCCTTTTAAAAAATAATTATATGAGGATCTCAGAAGGTGAAACTATATTACACTTCTGGGCTATAAATACACTTTTTTTATTTTTTTATTTTTTTTTAAAAAGCTGTAGCACTAGATGTGATAGTAATCTAGATTAGTTAAGGTTGCTTTTCTTTTTTTTTCCACCATATGTATTTAAAGTGTTATAAGAAAAATGGTTCAGAGTGGTTTCATTTTACTTTTCAGTATCTAGATGTTTCTATCATTTTAATTCTAACAGCCTTTATTCACCATCATCTGACTTATAAATATAGCATGCATGCTGTTAGTTTGTTGAGCTTGTCTTGGTAAAGTCACTTGGGTAATTGTAGACTGTATACTCCCTGAGTGAATCAATAATTCAGAGACTTTCAAAAGTTCCTGCAGACGCTGGTGCTCAAACAGCAAGCTTTCACAGGTGAGACCAGGCTGGTGAGAATGTCCAAAAGAAGATGGGTGGAATTCAAAATCTGCCAGACGATAAGCTGTTCAGCCCCCGTCAGCCGAAGACACAGAGCATCTTCTCCCGCTGCTGCTGCTGCT